TGTGCGTGTGTGTGTGTGTGTGCGTGCGCGCGCGTGTGTGTACGTGCTCGTGTGTGCGCGTGCGTGCGCGTGTGCGGCTATGTGTGCGCGTGCGTGTGTGTGCGTGTGTGTGTGTGTGCGTGCGCGCGCGTGTGTGTACGTGCTCGTGTGTGCGCGTGCGTGCGCGTGTGCGGCTATGTGTGCGCGTGCGTGTGTGTGCGTGTGTGTGTGTGTGCGTGCGCGCGCGTGTGTGTACGTGCTCGTGTGTGCGCGTGCGTGCGCGTGTGCGGCTATGTGTGCGCGTGCGTGTGTGTGCGTGTGTGTGTGTGTGCGTGCGCGCGCGTGTGTGTACGTGCTCGTGTGTGCGCGTGCGTGCGCGTGTGCGGCTATGTGTGCGCGTGCGTGTGTGTGCGTGTGTGTGTGTGTGCGTGCGCGCGCGTGTGTGTACGTGCTCGTGTGTGCGCGTGCGTGCGCGTGTGCGGCTATGTGTGCGCGTGCGTGTGTGTGCGTGCGTGTGTGTGCGTGCGTGTGTGTGTGTGTGTGTGGGCGGGCGCATCAGCACACAGACGTAATCCTATATGAGAATAAATAGTGCGTCAATCAATTGCAATCTTCCGCGATGTTGTATCTTACTCATCACAGCTTACCCCGATTGATACATCGGCCAGCGTGCATTGAACTGCTATTAATATTGAACAATTAACGCAAGCTGACCCAACAGCTTGGATGTAATTACTGCGTGGCTTGTTGATACTATTGATCGTTTTGATTAATATATTATGACATTATTCTACTAATCGCTAAGGATCTTCTTCGAGGAAGGAGCCAGGAGGAATACGATATGGTAGCGGCAGCGATTCAACAACTATACACTGAACTTGGCGAAGCTCATGGGCTTGCGAACGTAGGTTATGAGACATTTATATAATATGCATTGAAATGTCACGTATTTTCAAGGACGGCCCAACGTTTTTTAGGCACGTAAACGTAATTACAACACTGCTTTTACAAAGACATTACGTTGAGTTAAGTACGTTAGCATTGCATCGCATTAGTTTACGCTGCGTTTCATTACGTTAGGAGCGTTAACATCATTGTGATAAACTATGCTTTCAAAACGAGTAAATGAATGGCGAGTGAATGCGATACAATGAAAAGATGTAAAATAGAGTCTACAAGCTTATTATCGTCTGTCCATGATGTTTGCTAATACTGCAGGGAATATTAACTCATTGTACATTTGGACATATTGTACAATTCAAAATCTGTTACTCGTGCGTGAACATTGGAGGCCTTTTTGGTTCTCTCTCTCTCTCTCTCTCTCTCTCATAAATATAGAATGTCGATAGGGCTGTCTCCACCATTATAGAAGCACTACGTGCAAGTATTTAATATCCAATGTTGCTAAGGTTTCTAATTGTAGTTCGTACACGAAAAGTGTAGAAGTAGTATTTATTAAAAAAATTACATAATCAGATAAATGAATGAATATCGCACGACACTTCGTTTTAGGCGCCATGCACTCATATATTGTCCTCTACTCGCATACACCAGGGAGCGCTTTTTCTTTTGCAGGTGATCATTCACAACTCGAATGGTCTATTTGAAGGAGACATCGTCGCGACAGCAGAGGACGTACTGCCGCTGCTATCAAAGTCGGTTGCTGATAGAAACCGCGTGAAGAGAAAGCTGATAATGGGCTCGCGGCGACGCTGGGACTCGTCTAACCCAATAGCATATATGATATCGCACACGGGTATGAGGCCTTGGCAGATCGCGCCATCTAGCGTTGCTATTGCAATGTAATTGATTGTAAGCGTAGTTCAATTGACTTTGACAGCTTGGTGGGGGGAGGCGAGGACACTAACGGTATGTTAGAAATGAGTCATTCACGTTGGCATGTTTCGCGTTACGTTACGGGATTTCGAGCAATACGTGAGCAGCAATTCGTGCTAAATTTGATAACCAGATAATGGCAACAAACAGTTCGAAGTGTTGATGTTATTATTTATTGGTGGCCAGCTTACTAGTCCTAAACGATTCACACATGCGCGTGACAACTAAATCTATTTTAAACCTACGACTCTATTGAATAACAACTATTATTCTTTCTACGTCTATTCACTTTGATAAAATTTGATAACCAGATAATGGCAACAAACAGTTCGAAGTGTTGATTGAGTGTTGGTGGCCAGCTTACTAGTCTTAAACGATTCACACATGCGCGTGACAACTAAATCTATTTTAAACCTACGACTCTATTGAATAACGAACTATTATTCTTTCTACGTCTATTCACTCTCAGTTCATTATATATATATATATATAATTCATTTATCTTGCGATTTTTTCCATTATCGCCCAGTGTTTATGCATCGTAAAGCTTTGATTGAAAAGAGTCGATAGGGGTTGAAATTGTATACATGTCAAATCAATCTGCTTCATGTATCAAACAATCAAACGTTTGATATCAGATTTATAATAGATTTATCAGAGGGCTCTCGCCCTCCGACCTATTCCA